AAAGTTTATATAATAATTAAAAAATTAAATTGAGGATTTTAACTTCAAGTAAAAAAAAAAAAAAGAAGAACACGGATATGACAGATGTGACATTTTAACTTTGAAAAAACTACAAAAAGATCCACAAACAACGACACAGGTTGGGTGCCGATAGCACCTTTGTCGTGTCAACACTATACTTCAGTAATTCGGGTACTCTTGAAATTGACTATAAAAGTGTCAACACTAATACTATAGTGTCGACACGTGAGGAATTTAGATGAGTCTCGCACATGGAATTCATCTACGAACTTAACACCAATATTTAATTAATATTTAAATAAAAAAATTTTAAAGTAGTATCTTTGATTAAAAATTTTTAAAAATAATAATTTTAATTAATAAAAAAATAATATGCTTTATTACAATAAATAAAGTGTAGGTAAAATCTCTATAAGTAGCCAAGGAAATTAAGAAAATCTCTTCCCATTTGGAGTTGGGATTTCTAATTCGAATTTGGTTTAAACTCTTGAATTTAATAAATAAAGTTGTATTCAGCCAAAATCTAAATGTCCAAAATAATAATTTTAATTAATGAAAATTTTTATTTGCATAAAAAATGATAATTTAATTGAAAAAATCAAATCTTACTTTCTATTATTTGTTTTTTTTCATTTATTGCTGAATCAAACAAAAGGAGAGCAGGCACTTGGGCTTTCGGGTCAACTAGCACCCTATCAGTTTGAGGTGCATTCCCTCTTTCTCATGAGTAGGTTTCGAGTCCGTTTCTTGACAATTTGTTCAAAAAGAAAAAAAAACAAAAAACATGAGGAGAGCAGAAAAGAGTGGATGAGTAACAGGTGAAATAAGCAATGATTGAGTAAAGCAGAAAAGGGAAAAGTTAAGATTTCTAATTCAAATTTGGTTTAAACTCTTGAATTTATAAATGAAGTTGTTGTATTCAGCGGAATTTTAAGTGTTCAAAATAATAATTTTAATTAATAAAATTTTTATTTGTATAAAAAAATAATAATTTAATTGAAAAAATCAAA